TGTTAAAGACGACAGCACACATCCTCAACTGGTAAATGTTGCATGTTGATGACTGTTGCAGCAGACACAGCAGTCCTCAGTTACCACACCTGCAACAAAACATTCACATTATAACCATGAACATTACACACAAACATTACCATGTAATATAAACTAGTAACATTACTGCCTGACTGATATAAACATTAATGTTTAACATAGAAAGTAAAGCTATCTCTTTCTTTAATAAATATTTCTTTCACATTAACCTGATGACTAACAATTTGATTACACGAAAGCCTATATCTGGATCACAAGGCGCAAGTTCCTTGGATCAAGAAACCTTCACTAAGTTATTTTTCAATAATAGAAAAAAAATAGCCCAGAACTGGATACATAATTTTGAGTTATGTAACGTCTATTGTGAGAGTTATTTTTTGATCAGAGGAAGGGGAGTAGCTCCAGTTCCTCGCATCAAAACCCGTCCATTAAGATCAGTCACCCCTCCCCTTGAAGACATTAGACCGCAAAGAAAACTAAGACTTAAAATATTAATAATTTGGTGACCAAACTGGTGGTGGGGACCAGGAGCTTCATCTCAACTCTGCTGACAAATATGTTACCAGACAATACTTACGTTATTTTGGCGGTAAAGCCGGCGGGGCGGCAGGAGGAGCAGCAACTCATCTCTTCTAAACGACCACTGAAGTTCAACTGAACTTGAGTAACCTTGAGGTTGGTCACTGTCCTGACCTTCACTATAACACCATCACTGATAACCTGACTAACTCTGTCTACCGCTACTAGATGGCACTACTTCACCATCACTATCAGTACTACTTATGGTGGAGCGCTCAACCCGTGGGGGTCATGGACCACCAGGGAGGATAAGTTCACTACCAGGTGACATAGATCACATTCCTTGGATGTGATCTATGCCCCCAGCACCACCTTCAAGGGACCTCTCTCAAGGCTACCACTCTCACCACCAGAGGCGCTCAACTCCACTACCATTGTACTACTAATACTCTACATGAGCGTATGCTGGAGAATTCCTGGAGAGGGTTTCGGGTCAAAACGCCCCCCGCAGCCCAGTCTGCGACCAGGCCTCATGGTGGATCAGGGCCTGATCAACCAGGCTGTTATTGCGGCTGCACGCAGAGGTAGATTATTGTACCACTAGTACTCTAAATGAGAGAAGATTATTTTACCAAAGTTGTGCTCTCTCTCTAGTAAGTGATTGTTTTTGGTTTCTCCAACCTTGACCAAAATTGGCAGGCAAGATATTTTTTTTCTGGACACTGTTTGTGAGCGTGTTTTATAAACATTTGATTTAACTTTCTGTTTTACTCAGTCTTCAACATTCAACATATGCAATTGTTGTCAATTCATCCTGGCCTACATGCTCTCCTTGGGATCCAGGTCCAGGATGGAATCTTACCATCCTGGCCTACATGCTCTCCTGGATTCCAGGTCCTGGGATGAAATCTAACAATCCTGGCCTACATGCTCTCCTGGATCCAGGTTCCAGGTGAATCTAACCATCCTGGCCTACATGCTCTCCCCTGGATCCAGGTCCAGATGAATCTTACCATTGGGCTCACATGCTCTCCTGGACTCCAGGTCCAGGATGAATCTTACCATTCCTGGCCTACATGCTCTCCTGGATCCAGGTCCAGGATGAATCTTACATCCTGGCCTTACATGCTCTCCTGGATCCAGGTCAGGTGAATTTACCATCCTGGCCCTACATGCTCTCCTGGGATCAAGGTCCGGATGAATCTTACCATCGGCCTACATGCTCTCCTGGTCCAGGTCCAGGATGGAATCTTACCATCCTGGTACTTGCTCTCCTGGATCAGGGTCCAGGGATGAATCTTAACACATCCTGGCCTACATGCTTCCTGGATCAGGTCAGGATGAATCTTAACTTCTGGCTCACATGCTCTACTGGATCAGGTCAAGGATGAATCTTACCATCCTGGCTACATGCTCTCCTGGATCCAGGTCCAGGATGAAATCTTACCATCCTGGCCTACATGCTCTCCTGGAATCCAGGTCAGGATGAATCTTACCATCCTGGGCCTACATGCTCTCCGGAATCCAGGTCAGGTGAATCTTTACCATCCTGGCCTACATGCTCTCCCGGATCCAAGGTCCAGGATGATGGAATTTCCATCCTGGCCTACATGTTCTCCTGGAATCCAGTCCAAGGATGAATCCTACCCACCTGGCCCTAATGCTCTCCTGGATCCAGGTCCAGGGGGGGCCCCCCCCCCCCCCCCCCCCCCCCCCCGGGCCCCCCCGGGGGCCGGATGAATCTTACATCCTGGCCTACATGCTCTCCTGGGATCCAGGTCCAGGATGAATCTTTACCATTCCTGGCCTACATGCTCTCCTGGATCAGGTCCAGATGAATCTTACCATCCTGGCCTACATGCTCTCCTGGATCCTGGTTCCAGGATGAATTTACCATCCTGGCCTACATGCTCTCCTGGATCCAGGTCCAGGATGAATCTTACCATCCTGGCCTACATGCTCTCCTGGATCCAGGTCCAGGATGAATCTTACCATCCTGGCCTACATTGCTCTCCTGGATCCAGGGTCCAGTGATGAATCTTACCATCCTGGCCTACATGCTTCTCCAGGATTCCAGGTCCAGGATGAATTTACTCATCCTGGGCCTTCATACTCTCCGGATCCAGGTTCCAGGATGAATCTTACCAATTTTTCTGGGTGATTTGCAGTCAATCTTTCAAGCTTGTTATCAAGGCATGTACCATTGAAGAGCAAAGCGTTTGTCACATGACTTGTATAAGAGCTAGAATTAAGGTCTTGACAGCCAGGGGACTGATTTAGACCTTGGGGGGGCCCGGGACACTTTAGGTTTGGGGGGCCCTCAACATGGAAATTAAAATTGAAAATTACAAATATGAAATGAACTTAAAATTATGTAAAACAACAACTTTCGAAAAAAAAAAAAAGGTTTTTTGAAAGAAGACGTCTGGTTTTTATTTTTCATTTTTTTTTGTTTGACTTTAAGAATAACTATAATTTTCAGTTTGTAATATTTCCATCTACACTGTATAATAAATTTACCGATTGTGTAATTTATTTATATCTTTGGTGTCACACTTTCGGTTATATATGACTGCAGTTGACCAAGAGAACACCTGGTTTTCTGTGACAGGGTAACCACAGGACTGGGTCTGAAATCACATGGTGGCCGCTTCACTGTCCATGTCTACACAGTATCTGTTAGAATGTGGTTGTGGGATTCATTTTACTATCTGATTTGGTATGTTTTTTTTTTTTTCAAATAATGGGATCCGTGGTTCAGTACCCGGGTAAGTGGTAATGTTGGGCAGATTACTTACACCTGCTGCCCCCTGTTTACCTAGCAGTAAGTAGGTACCTGGGTTGTTAGTCGACTGTTGTGAGTCACATCCTTGAAGGCGGGGGGTGGGGGAGTTAGTTGACCTTAGATAGAATGAACTTTCGAATGAGCTGAAGTAGGATAACAGGTCTTAACTGTAAATACAAACTTTCTAAACAACTAGACTCAAACTGTTCATGGTTTAGTAACAATGTAGTAACTTAGCAAATTTTCATTTAACAATGTTTCAGGCAACTGATCTGAAAGTTATTCTCTGTCGCGTTGAAATCTTTCTCACTGTTGCGTTGAATCTTTCTCCTCTGTTTGCGTTGAATCTTTCTCACTCGGTTGCGTTTGTATTTTTTTACTACTGTTTGCGTTGACTCTTTTCAATCTGTCTGCGTTGAATTTTTCTTTACTCTGTCTGCGTTTTGAATCTTTCTCACTTGTTGCGTTGATCTTTTCTCACTCTGTTGCGGATTGAATCTTTCTCACTCTGTTGCGTTGAATCTTTTCTTACTCTGTTGCGGTTGAATTTTCTCACTCTGTTGCGTTGAATCTCTCTCACCTGTGGTTGTATCTTTTCTCATTCTGTTCCGTTGAATCTTTCTTACTCTGTTGCGTTGAATCTTTCTCCTCTGTTGCGTTGACTTTTCTCAATCTGTTGCGTTGAATCTTTATCACTCTGTGGCATTGAATCTTTCTCACCCTGTTGTGCTGAATCTTTCTCACTCTGTTGCAGTTTAATCTTCTCATCCTGTTGTGTTGAATCTTTATCAATCTGTTGCGTTGCAATCTTTCTCACCCTGTTGCGTTGAATCTTTATCACTCTTGTTGCGTTGAATCTTTCTCACTCAGTTGCGTTGAATCTTTCTTACTTCTGTTGCGTGAATCTTTCTCACTCGTTGCGTTGAATCTTTCTCTACTCTGTTGCGTTGAATCTTTCTACACTCTGTTGCGTTGAATACGTTCTTACTCTGTTGCGTTGAATCTTTCTCACTCTGTTATGCGTTGAATCTTTCTCACTCTGTTGCGTTGATTTTCTCACTCTGTTGCGTTGGAATCTTTCTTTACTTCTGTTGTGTTGAATATTCTCACTCTGTTGCGTTGAATATTTCTCACTCTGTGCGTTGAATCTTTTCAATGTTGGTTGATCTTTCAACTCTGTTGCGTTGAATCTTTCTCACCGGTTGCATTGAAAATTTTCTCACTCTTGTTGCCGTTGAATCTTTCTAAACTCTGTTCGGTTGAATCTTTCTCACCCTGTTGCATTGAAATATTTCTTCACTCTGTTGCGTTGAATCTTTCCTTCATCTTCTGTTGCGTTGAATCTTTCTCCACTCTGTTGGCGTTGAATCTTTCTACTCTGTGGCGTTGAATCTTTCTCACTCTGCGTTGTTTCTTATACATTCCCGGTTTGTCTTTATCTCCATCTCGTTATTATTGACAAATTCTTCTCTTCCTCATCGTGTTCGCGTCGAATATTCCTGATTCTGTTCGCATACGGATATTTCTCAGTTTTGCGTTTGGATTTCTTCAACTGTGTTCGCGTTGAATATTCGTTATTGTATTTTACGGTGATGATTTCTCCCTCACTCTGCGTTGATTTATTTTTATTGGAGTAGTAACGCAGTATTCCTTTCTGGGCGTTGAATAGTTCTCCTCCTCCTCTCGGCGTTGAATACTTCCTCAGTTCTGTCAGATGTTGCCCACTAACGGTTGCCACGCGGCAGCAGTCTGTTCCCACCTCAATGGGACTAATTTTCCCGCGAGACCAGGGAAAATGGAAAAAGAGAGAGAAGAAAAAAAGAGAAAGAGAGAGACGGAAAGACATTACCAGAATCTAATGAATAATGGAGAGGGAGAGGGAGAGAGGAGAGAGAGAGAGAGAGAGACAGGAGGGAGATGGAGAGGAGAGAGACCGAGAGAGGACGAGGAGATGAGAGAGGATGAGAGAGGGAAGAGGAAGGGAGGGAGAGACAGAGAGAGAGACAGAGACAGAGAGAGAGAGACATGAGAGAGAGACAGAGAGAGGAGACTCAAATTGCCTTTAAAAAATTGCATGTCTTTCCTGGAAGCAAATTAGTGTTGTATGCAAAAGGGTGGAGATTGTTGCTGGCTTACTAAGTGAGTGGGCGCAGGTCAATGTTGGCTGTAGCAAGGAATTAACAACACAGGAAGCATGAGGAGTGTGGAGGAGACGTACGTGGTGAGATGAGAGAGAGAGAAGAGGAGGAGAGAGAGAGAGAGAGGAGAGAGAGTGAGAGAGAGGCGATTGTACCGAAGACGGTACGGAGGAGAATCAAGGGGTTAGCATTATAAGTGGGAATAGGAGAGAAATATGTGTCAGTGTATAACACTGAGAGGTGTGTTGTGTATGTGTCAGTTATATACACTGAGAGGTGTTGTGTGTGTTGTGTGTGGTGTCAGTATATATACACTGAGAGGTGTGTGTGGTGTGTGTCAGTGTATATACACTGAGGGTGTTGTGTGTGTGTGTGTGTGTCAGTATATATACACTGAGAGGTGTGTGTGTGTGTGTCAGTGTATATACACTGAGAGGTGTGTGTGTGTGTGTCAGTGTATATACACTGAGAGGTGTGTGTGTGTTGTGTCAGTGTATATACTCTGGAGGTGTGTGTGTGGTGTGTTCAGTGTTATACACTGAGAGGTGTGTCGTGTGTTCAATGGTATATACACTGAAAGGTGTGTGATGTGTGTTGTGTAGTGAATATACACGAGAGGTGTGTGTGTGTCGTTGTCGGTGTATACTACACTGAGAGGTGTGTGTGTGTGTGTCAGTATTTATACATGAGAGGTGTGTGTGTGTGTGTCAGTATATATTACACTGAAGTGGTGTGTGTGGTGTTGTGTCAGTATATATACACTGAGAGGTGTGTGTGTGTGTGTCAGTATATATACACTGAGAGGTATGTGTGTGTGTGTCAGTATATATACACTGAGAGGTGTGTGTGTGTGTGTCAGTATATATACACTGAGGTGTGTGTGTGTTTGTCAGTATATATACATGAGAGGTGTGTGTTTTGTGTGTCAGTATATATACACTGAGGAGGTGTGTGGTGTCAGTATATATACACTGAGAGATGTGTGTTGTGTGTGTCAGTATAATACACTGAGAGGTTGGTGTGTGTGTGTGGTCGTATATATACACTGAGGTGTGTGTGTTGTGTCAGTATAAATACCACTGAGAGGTGTGTAGTCGGTGTGTCAGTTTATATACACTGAAGGTGTGTGTGTGTCAAGTAATTTATACCTGAGAGGTGTTGTGTGTGTGTGTCAGTATATATACACTGAGAGGTGTGTGTGTGTCAGTATATATACACTGAGAGGTGTGTGTGTGTGTGTCAGTATATATACACTGAGAGGTGGTGTGTGTTGTGTCAGTATATATACTCTGAGAGGGTGTGTGTGGTTCGTCAGGTATATATACACTGAGGGAGTGTGTGTGTGTCAGTGTATATTACACTGAGAGGTGTGTGTGTGTGTGTTCAGTGTCTATACACTGAGAGGGGTGTGTGTGTGTGTCAGTGTATTACCCACCTTTTGAGAGGTGTGACTGTGTGTGTGTCAGTGTATATACACTGAGAGGTGGTGTGTGCCCTGTTGTTGTGTCAGTGTATATACATGAGAGGTGTGTGTGTGTGTGTCAGTGTATATAACACTGAGAGGTGTGTGTGTGTGTGTCAGTGTATATACACTGAGAGGTGTGTGTGTGTGTGTCAGTGTATATACACTGAGAGGTGTGTGTGTTTTGTGTCAGTGTATATACATGAGAGGTGTGTGGTGTGTCGGTGTATATACACATTGAGGGTGTGTGTGTGTTTGTCAGTGTTATACACTGAGAGGTGTGTGTGTTGTGGTAAGTGTACTATACACTGAGAGGTGTGTGTGTGTGTGTTCAGTGTATATACACTGAGAGGTTGTGTGTGTGTGTGTCAGTGTATATACACTGAGAGGTGTGTGTCGTGTTGTGATCAGTGTATATTACACTGAGAGGTTTGTGTCGTGTGTGTGTCTGTGTATATACACTGAGAGGTGTGTGTGTGTGTGTCAGTGTATATACACTGAGAGGTGTGTGTGTGTGTCAGTGTATATACACTGAGAGGTGTGTGTGTGTGTGTCAGTATATATACACTGAGAGGTGTGTGTGTGTTGTCAGTGTTATATACCCACTGAGAGGTGTGTGTGCTATGTCAGATATTATTCTAAGAGGTGTGTGTGTGTGTCAGTATATATACACTGAGAGGTGTGTGTGTGTCAGTATATATACACTAAGAGGTGTGTGTGTCAGTGTATATACACTGAGAGGTGTGTTTGTGTGTCAGTATATATACACTGAGAGGTGTGTGTGTGTCAGTATATATACACTGAGAGGTGTGTGTGTGTCAGTGTATATACACTGAGAGGTGTGTGTGTTGTCAGTATATATACACTGAGAGGTATGGGTGTGTGTGTCAGTGTATTACACTGAGAGGTGTGTGTGTGTCAGTATATATCCATGTGAGGTGTGTGTGGTATCAGTGTATATACACTTGAGAGGTTGTGTGTGTGTCAGTATATATACACTGAGAGGGTGTGTGTGGTGTTGTGTCAGATATATACACTGAGAGGTGTGTGTGTGTGTGTCAGTTCATATAACTGAGAGAGTGTGTGTGTGTGTTGTCAGTATATATACACTGAGAGGTATGTGTGTGTTGTGTCAGTAATATATACACTGAGAGGTGTGTTGTGTGTGTGTCAGTATATATAAACTGAGGTGTGTGTGTGTTGTCGTATATATACACTGAGAGGTGTGGTGTCGTGTGTGTAGTATATATACACTGAGAGGTGTTGTGTGTGTCAGTATATATACACTTGAGAGTGTGTGTGTGTTGTGTCAGTATATATACACTGAGAGGTGTGTGTGTGTGTGTCAGTATATATACACTGAGGTGTGTGTGTGTGTCAGTATATATACACTGAGAGGTGTGTGTGTGTTTGTGTCTCAGTCACTGGTCTTATACACTGAGAGGTGTGTGTCGTGTCAGTTATATTTCTGAGAGGTTGTTGTGTGTGTGTGTCAGTATATATACACTGAGAGGTGTGTGTGTGTCAGTATATATACACTGAGAGGTGTGTGTGTGTGTGTCAGTATATATACACTGAGAGGTGTGTGTGTGTCAGTATATATACACTGAGAGGTGTGTGTGTGTGTGTCAGTCTATATATACATGAGAGGTGTTGTGATGTGTCAGTGTATATACACTGAGAGGTGTGTGTGTTGTGTGTCAGTGTATATTACACTGAGAGGTGTGTGGTGCTGTGTGTCAGTGTATATACACTGAGATGTGTGTGTGTTGTGTGTCAGTGTATATACCATGAAGAGGTGGTGTGTTTGTGTGTCAGTGTATATACACTGAGAGGGTGTGTCGTGTGTGTCAGTGTATATACACTGAGAGGTGTGTTGTGTGTGTCAGTAGTATATACACTGAGAGGTGAGTGTGTGTGTCACTGTGGTCAGTGTATATACATGAGAGGTGTGTGTGTGTGTGTCAGTGTATATACACTGAGCAGGTGTGTGTGGTGTCAGTGTATATGCACTGAGAGGTGTGTGTGTGTGTGTCAGTGTAATATACACTGAGAGGGTGTGTGTTGTGTGTGTCAGTGTATATTACACTGAGAGGTGTGTGTGTGTGTGTCAGTGTATATACATGAGAGAGAGGTGTGTTGTGTGTGTGTCAGTGTATATACACTGAGAGGTGTGTGTGATTGTGTGTCAGTGTATATTACACTGAGAGGTGTTATTGTGTGTTGTGTGTCAGTGTATATATACAATGAGAGGTGTGTGTGTGTGTTGTCATGTATATAACACTGAGAGGCTGTGTGTGTGTGTCAGTGTATATACACTTGAGAGGTGTGTTTTGTGTGGTGTGTGTACAGTATATATACACTGAGAGGGGTGTGTGTGTGTCAGTGTATATACACTGAGAGGTGTGTGTGTGTCAGTATATATACACTGAGAGGTGTGTGTGTGTGTCAGTATATATACACTGAGAGGTGTGTGTGTGTCAGTATATATACACTAAGAGGTGTGTGTGTGTCAGTGTATATACACTGAGAGGTTGTGTTTGTGTTTTCTAGTATATATACACTGAGAGGTGTGT